TTTCCAAGGGTAAAGAGCCAGGAAAGGGATGAGAAACTGGGCAATGGGCATGGCATACAGGGGCTTTAAAGCCTGGGAAAGGGGGACAGGGTGTGGATCAGGCTGCCCATGAGGAGCTTTGGAGGCTCAGTGGGTTCGAAGAGATAGGCCCTGCGGAGCACCAGAGGCTCAGCAGCCGGGAGGGCAAGGGCCTTCATTCAGAATCCTGGGGGCAGCACCCAGGGCCAGGCTGGTCCCTCAGAAGGGATCATAGGCCCTGCTTAGTGGTGTGCCCAGCTCCATGGTGTTCACCTCAGTGCTGAAGAAAGCCCCAGTTAACTCTCAGGAAGCAGCGAGTTCCAGTTGTTTTTTAAGGGACAGGGAGCTAGCAGACAAGTGTCTGCTCAGCAAGACTGGTAGGGCAGGGGCCTCACCAGCCAAGGGCCCAGTCCCTACAGCCCCTGAGCAAGGCAAGTAAGGCAGGCAGGGGGATGGTACTTAGGTAGTTATAGATAGGGATAGGTAGTTATTCTGTCAAGAATACAGATCATCAGGCATAATCATGAGGCAGGCTCAAGGCAGGGTCAGAATCAATTCCAGTGAAAGAAACCAGGGTCACACACAGTCCTATCACTGCCAGACAAGTCCACAGTGATAAGCCATATCCAAGGTCAAACCAGAAAGTAAATTTCTAGGTCAAGATCTAGAATAATAGGGTCCATGGCCAGACACAGCTGTGATGGAGCTGGAGCTGGAGATATGTATACTTGCAACAGACCACAAATAGAGACTGGAGACCCAAGCATGAACTTAAATGAAGCTCAGAGGGCAGAGGATGAGGGTGAAGGCTCCAGTTGAGGCTGGTAAAGGCCATTAAGGCCTATGACTGCAGTCATGGCCCTGAAAAGATAAAAGAATGAGTCTGGGATGACTCACAATAGAAAAGTTCAGGAAAGGAGAAAAGGAAGAAGATGCAAAGAAAGGTGAGGAGAAAGTGATTTCTGAAATAAAAGATTTTAAAAGGTCTTTTTCAGGCTTATTCATATAAGCAATGCACTTATATGAATATTTCATTGCACTCTGTACTTGTCTTGTACAATGTTCTGATATTCATTTTGGGACACAGTTACATTTGCCACTGTGGTTGTAGTCTTTCTCGTGCCACCTCTCCTACTATTATTCAATGGAATGCAGTCTAATAGTAAAGTTCTTTGCCTAGAAACTGGTGATTTCTCAAAATAGAGCCATAAGGAAGCAGGCACTTTGTTCCAAGCCACGCTACCTCAGAGTGTGGGGGAACTCAGAAGCCAGAAGTCCTGTGAGAATCTTAGAGGAAAGAGTTAAAACTTTCCAAGGAAACGATAAATTCTTGGAAGATCCTACTTGCAATAAGAAGCAAGTGTTCCTAACACACAACTCCCTCTAAAAATCAGACTACTGCTTGAGAGTATGGTATCTGAAACAACGTAAATTGCCCTGTGGCAAGTCAGTAATTACTGCCCCTAATTTCTGAAAAAGACTGACTGGCTATGCACTGGAAAAGCCAATAGCTCCTGACCCTGATCTGCTATATTTGGAGCTGTGGCTAACTTTAAGATCTAGCACCTTTTCTGAAGTGATCAGTTTCTCTCAACCTGACAATAGGTCCCTCTTTTAAAAATAAAAACAAAAATTAGAGCTTTTGAAATGCCTGCCATTCAAATACTGTTTCCCAGGGACTGTCTCTTTCCTCTTTCCTTCATCTGTCTCTTTAGTCTGCTGGACACTTTTCTCTTGTCTGTCATGCAACAATGAAATTGAGGAAGAAAAATGAGACATTGTCACAGCACACAGCATATCCAAGAAAACCACAGTACAGCAATTCAGGGAGAACAAATCTGAGAAGTACAGCCAGCATGGGAAAAGAGAAAGCAAGATAGGCAACAGTCACAGAGGAAGTGTGTTGAGAAATAAGTGAAGAAATTGGTCAAATGCATGAGTGAGAAATGAGGGAAGAGAAAAACAGTGGAAGAGACACTTGTAACAAGACTCCAGATTCCAGTCCCTGCTTCTTCCAATGCCAATTTTACAAGCTCCCCTTGTAAAATACCAATAATGATGCTCTCCCTTTCCTGGATGACCACTTAGCACCCTGCTCCAATTACATGCACTTAGTAGAGCAAAGGGAGGAAAGTTTAGGGCAGGTTTGCACACTCATATCCATACACATCAAGAAACCACACTTGGGAATGACAAGGATGCTATGGGGAGGGCAAGCATAGAGAAATATATACTGAATAATGAAGAATAGAAACAAGAAAAGGACAAGGGAAGCAGAGAGTGGGAAGGGGTATGAATGAAAAACTGCTTAATATGAAGGCAAAAATGGACACACAGTAAGGGTGAAATCGAGTTGAAAGTTTAGAAAGCAGGGAGAGAAAAGAGGGAGGGATGCAGAGGTGAAAAGGTTTCAAATATGAAAGAAGAGAACAAGAAGAAAGCTTATGTTGTCCCCACCCACCCCCAGTTACAGGTTGGGACCAAATGGAGGAAACATTTGTGGCCTCATCAATGGGAGAAGGAATGGAGCTGATCAACATGGTGCACGAGGATTCACAGAGACTGAGGAATTCAGCAGCGAAGGATCTGCTGTCGGATCTGGCTCTTTCCCTGAACACTGGCAGCATTGTGTTTCTTTTTTTATGTGTATATAAAGCATGAAATAATTGGTACGGTCACAGATGATTACAATTTGAACATCTACATGTGTTTCATGACCGCCTACTAGGCAGTATGGCTTCTCTTCACCAACCACATCCCAGGGAACTTGCAACACTGAGGACAAGGGCAAAGACCTTGTGCACATATTGAAAATTTTTCTTTCTCTCCTTGAGAAACACAATAAATTCTCAGTCCAAGACTCATGCAATTTTTTTCTAAGCCAGACCTCCCTTCTTGCACTTCCCATATGTTCTTTGTGTAAAATCATCATAGCTAGTAACAAACAAGAATTGATTCAACTCACCGACTTTAAGGGTTACCCTGTCTTTTAAACAGAATATTCATATATTCGTCATACATTGAAAGAACAAGAAAAAATTGCCTATTCCAGGGAACTGTGTGTGCCCCCCCCCCCATACACTTAACAAGACAGATACAAGAAAACTTGATTCCTCAAAATGCAGACTGTCAATAGATTTGCTTTTTCTACACATTATAAACAAAGAAGCCAAGTAGTCTCAGTACACTGAAATAACTTCTATATTACACACAAGGTCTGGTACAATCTTAATTGCTATTAGCATCTAAAAGAAAGACAGTCTGGACATGCTGCGAGGACAAATTTGGTTAAACTGATTAAACAGTGGAGGAAGAGTATACGCTGTTTAAATGGTAAAGATAAGCACAAGCCCAGATTTGTTATTTTTTATGATGGGTAAATAAATCAAATTATTTCAAGGTATTATTATTTATTACTTGTGAAGTTCAGCTAAGAACTCTGGTCATGCTGGGAACAGTACAAATACAGAACAAAGAAACAGGCCTGGTCATAAAGAGCTGGCAAACAAAGTAATTTCTTTCTCTGAAGCAAACACTTTATTAGTATTTTAGTTAATTAATGAAAACAAAATATCTTAACAGTCTGTTCTTGGAAAATATTTTTCTGCATTGGTCAGTACTTGGAAAGGATTAACACAGTTATTAGGACTTTCACAATTTTTACAATGCTTACATTGATAAGGAATGTTTCTGCTTGCCATCCACAAACAATCCCCAGGCAGCCAATATAATAAGAAAGAAAAAAATGCTCCCATAATCGAGAACAGTTTGAAGAGTAAGCAAAAGGTAGGAGTATTTTGCATACTTACGGACTTTGGTAAGTTTCAGAATATTGGTATAAATTTTCTAATTATCAGAACCTGAAATTGATGTAATTATTAGGTTGCTTTTGGGAATGTGCTTTAAGCACTTTTCCTGCTATCTTAAAATATATTACTTCTTATTCTCTTTTTCCTCTAAAATAAATTAATACCTAAAATTCAATTTCAAGTAGAAAAAAAAAAAAAAAGCCTACAGCAGCTCTACTCCTCTGTTTGGATGGTAAATATTTACAAATGTAGGGATGAGAGAACTTGAAGGGATAAGAGAACGAGATTCAGGATCCAGAGTTGTTCTTGGAATTCTAATTGTTCAGTCTTCAGACTTCTAGAAACACTTGTGACTGTCCCATACTCCACCCTCAACCATATCCTCAACCCTAAATAGAGACCAAAAAACGAGAAGCTCATTGGAAAACAATGAAAGATGAAAGATAATCTGTTCTCAACTCCCAATCCCCCTCCCACCAGTGGGGATGCTTTCCTCTTTCCTCTTTCATCTGTTAGGAGTTTTGCTGATGAAACAAATAGGGAAGGTCTTCAGTAACCTTCCTTATTAAGTGACTTATCTTTCAGCCTAGAAGGTGGAGCCACTGAGTCTTTCCTACTACCTATCTCCATTTATTGTCAGAAGAGAAGAGGATTCTTTCCTCTCTGGTAGCTTACATGTGTGGTTTGCATAGTAACCCATAGGATTTCCTTAAGAGCCAATCTTACATGAACAAGTCTTAGAGCTCCAGCTCATTGCCCTCTCCATTCAATGTGACTGTGAGTCTGCTGAAGTAGACAGGGAAATGCACTGAACAAAGGGACTAATAATGTAACAGTCCTGTTTACAACTCCTAAGAAATTGTTGCCTAGCAGAGAGTGGCTAGTCATCTTGCTGCCTTGGGACTTGCCAAACTCCACAGTTATCACATCCAGGACAGAGTGCTGAGAGCAGTAGGAGGAGACACTCTTCCCTCATGAGCTCAGTTTCAGAATTTTGCTACCATCAGCTGCTGAGGAAAGGATAACAAGGAAACGATAACAATAAAAGGAAGGTAAGAGGAGTGAATAAGAGCACCATGTCACCCTGAGGGCCCTGAGTAGATGGCCATACTTTCATGGATCAGGCCTTCCTCTCCCTGGGGTCATATCTCTCTTCCTCCTTTTCCATGCAGATTACCAGATGTGGCACTTGTTGTCTGGGTTCATTGGGGATCCACTGGAACAGTGGAAGTGCTTGGCAAAGTCCTGGCTATTGCTGACAGGCCCAGAGACACGAAGTGGCAAGGGACTGTGCGGATCTGTGTTCAGGGAAGACTGCAGTTTCTCAGGATCCTGGTGTCCACACATTGCCTGAAAGCAAAATAGAAAAGTCAGTTTGGCTGAAAGTCCTCGTTTGAACAAGATCCTTATGCCTCTGCACACGTAACTGAAGCTTCTGAGTAAACAAGGAAACACACTTATATGAGTGCCAACAATGTTCAGATCTTTCCCTTCACCACCACGATTTCTGACTGTTTTCACTTTCCCTAAAGTTCTCTGCCCCAATTTCCCTATCTGACAAGCCATCTGCTCTTTTTCTATACTGTGTAGTCCAGAACACAGGGAATTTAGACCACCTTGGAGTCTAGGCTCAGGGAACCTTGGACTCCATCTAAATTAATGGTACAGATGTAGTCTTAGTGTCTAGATTCAGGTTCTTAAGCAAAACCAGTAAGTGCTCATCAAGAAAGGAGAGCACTTGCACAACATCCCATTACTACTCAAGAGACTGGAGGGAAGATTATGTGACTTTACTGGTGTTAAACTGGCGATCCAAGTCTTCACTCTTACGATTTCGGTCTTTATTCATTGACAAATAATGCAGTAGCTCCAAGATAGTCTCTGAAATGCAAACCTTGTTGCCAAGACCCAATAATCTGTGGCTTCCAAACTACTTTTCTACACAGTGCTCTGACCTAATGTCAATACACACGCAAAACTTTTCCCTTTGCACAATCACAGTGACTTATAAGGGTGTGATTTTTCTGAGCATAGGAATGAGGAACTATGCACAACTGCACAACTTTGCACAAATCCTTAAACCAGGTTCCCACAGAAATCTTGAAATATGTGTGCATGTAATTCTAGTTCTTCACCTCTAAATAATGTTCTAAACTCTTTTTTTCACGGTAAGTCACTCAGAATCACGACATCTAGTTATTCACCATGACAGAGAGGCAGATGAAGGAAGGGATGGAAAAATACACGCCTTTTCCAGTAGAATTCCACTTTCCATGTGGTAGATTGCTCACAACAGCAAAAACGTACTCGGAAGCTGGCAATGAAGCATGCCTTCCCTGACACAACTTTTCTGCTACAACTTAACTCTAATAGATTTCAGAGCTTTGTAGAAGATTTATTTTCAGACGGGCCTTTTGTTTGCTTTGAGATCCATAACAGGTTAGGGGCCCTATATGTGAATTTTAGCATTCTAAATAAGATTCTCAGTCTCCCAGAAACATTGGTCATTCCTAGTTCTGTGAAGAGGGAGAAAAGTGATTGAATATTGACCGAGACAAATTGTACTAATGTGGAAGACAATGGAGAGTGAGACACACATGACTAGCCCAGAATTAATTACATGAGCAAAACTGAGGTAGAAAAGCTGATCGTGTGAAAGTCCAGTCTTAGGTAAATCCTTCTCTTTGTGCTTTTTCAGCCAATTCTTATAGGCCTGTGGAGAGAGAAAATTAATAATAATAAATCCCACTTCAGACAGTGTCCCAAAACCATGTCTTCTGTCAATGAAATATATCAGTCTAATATATATTTAATAAATTAACAAGTTTGAAACTTTCTCTCCTCATTCTGAGGCTCCCTGATGCTGGCCATGCCCCTAATAACTCTAAGAGGGGAGAATAACAACGTAACTCCTTTGCTTCCCATTTCAGACTCTACTACAAACATATCATCATTAAGAGAAGATGTGGTAACTGAACTATGAAATAATGAAAGTTACTTTCAAAAAAAGTCATAAATATTTGAAAAATAAAATAAAATACTTTCTACCTCCCACCATTCTTGGTGCAAGAATGTAAAAAGTACCATCTGAGACCTAGAGATCTCAGATCACGCTGCACTCAGTAATTAATTAAACTGCTGAACTACTGCATGAGGAACTAAAACATTCTCTCTAGACTAAGGTACTGCTGAAAACATCATTGTGGAGTCATTTCAGCACCACACAGAATTCTGGTTCATGTCTCAGCTTAGTTCCTCAGGTATAACATAAACATATAAATAATGACATGCTTTTGTATGCACGACATAAATGGGGAAGTAAAGAAAGGCCCGCCCCAGAATTGGTGAGAAGTGTTTTTACATGGAAGTAGTGAGGTTATGAGCAAAGCTTTGTGAGGAACCTACGTCTGGAATAGCAGAGGACATACAGGGCAAATGCTGCACTGTCACAGGCATGCAAGAAATCTGGACTCGGAGGAGCACATAGGAGAGGAATGTAGCAGAGTAATCTTGTAACAACACAGCAGCTGAGTTGTGTCGTGAGACTGTGAGATTAGAGAAGTAGACTATAATACCTGGTAAGCAATGGCGAGGCCTCCAGTGTCAGCTGTATTCTCCAACAGTGTAAAAGTACCATTGACCTTAAAGTCATAGCTTTCATACTGTTCAACCAAGCAGTCTATAGATTTCTGTAGTGCACTCCTGTTGCATGAAGGACAGCCCCCAGGCAGCACTGTGGGAAACAAAATATCCTAGAAAGTAAAGGTATTTCTGGCAAGTGTCTGTATTCCTCACATTAATCACTGAGTCTTCTTAGTAGTCAGCGTGGCCTGGAATGGGTTTTCTTTAGCTTCATCTGCCTTAATAATAACATTTATGTAAGGACCAGGAATTAAGATCCACTGGGGGAAAGTGCCAGTGGGCACCTAGAAGAGTAAAGAGAGACACCACGGCCAGTACCCACCATAACCATAGAACGTGTGAAGAAGTTCATGTGCCATGAAGACGCCAATGGCTCCAAAGTTCACAGCACTGAAAAATAAACATGAAAAAAGTGCTTTTGAAAAGAAAAAGAGGGCAGGTGAGCATTCTTTACAGCCACTGAGCACAACTGTGGGCTGCACAGGAGCATTTTACTGAAAGCATACAGAAGCACTTTCTATTTATTGCCTCTCAGATGTAGTAAACTGTAAAAATGCAAATACAAGTGTAAGTTACTCTATCGATGCTTAATATTGTACTATGGGCTTCATTAATGTATTTGTAGCTAATAAGCTATCATAATAATGAAGAGTCTGTGAATGAGATTCTGCCTTCATCAACATGTATTGTTGTTGAGATATGTCCTTATTTACCCATTACTGGCTGAACTGCTGCACAAACAGTTACTGCAATGGTAATCCTACAAAAGCAGGATGGTTGGAGAAGCAATCTTGCAACAGTTGTCCAGTGAAAAATGATACATAAAACTGGCAAGGCAAATTAAAATCATGAAGGTTTGACTACAATTACTCTGGTCTAGCATTGATGATCTCACTACAAGCAAGAGATTGTACTAGAGACCTTCAGCAGTTCTTTCCAACAGGATTTCTATGATTCTTTGCAATGAATTTGCAAATAGTCACACAAGTAAGAGTACACTCAAAAGGCATTTACATAATATGAAATGATCGGCTCATGCTTTCTTTACATGCACTGATTAATGCTGCTGAAGCATGAAATGATTGTAGTAGATCATTATTACATCATTGGGAACTCAGTAGGAAGTGACCTCATCTTTTTCTCTTAGAACAGCTCTGTAGCTGATAACACAATTGTTGCTCAGAGAAGTTGTGGGTGCCTCATCATTGGAATTGTTCAAGGTCGGGTTGGACAGGGTTTTAAGCAACCTGATCTAGTGAGAGATGTCCCTGCCCGTAGCAGGGCAGTTGAACTAGATATCTTTAAAGTGTCTTCCAACCCAAACCATTCTATGATTCTACAATTCTATAACAATTGTACTGCTTTGCTGACTTCTTATTTTAAAAATTATCCTCACAGTCATCTGAATTGGCTTTTGTCAGTAAACTTTAAACTTTGGAACATCATCTGAGAAAATGCTATTGTGCCAACTCACCAAAAGCTGATCAAGCTTGACTTATCAGTCTACTCGACTGGAATGACAGTGAAAAAACTATATTTTACCAACACTGAATACAAAAGGAATATGAAGCTCTAGACACTTTTTCAGAGAAGAAGTATATGGTGACAGCCCATATCACTGGAACAAACAAATAAAATTCTATTATTTTTTTGAGGTGTCCTGTTCTTCATACTACATTGAATTCATGAAATACTTCAGACACTAGATGTCATACAACTAGTGGTAGAGGATCACCATGGAGAAAATAATTACTTTTAACTGAGACATGTTTCTTTCCAACTTCAACTTCTTGCCACAGTGTGAGTTTATTTTTCAGTACAATGGGATTAGGAGAAGTATCTATCCATTATCATGCAAAAAAAGGACATAAAATAATATTTTTACGGTTGACTTTTTAAGTGCTTTTAATATCAGAAAAATATTGCTTAACAGTTCTGTTTCATATGTGAAAGAACCCAACTATAAGAGTATGGTCTACGGAATCGTTGTTGTTGCAGGGGAAGACTCAGAATTAAAAATATATTTGCTTATTAGAGAAAGTTTTGGTAAAAAAAAGGAAGAGAACAACTGTGTTTGATCCATTTGAAAAAGATTTCTGACAAGAAATTGCTCTGTGAAGCTCCTATTTCCTCTGGGTTACATTTCTATGGGTTATATTTCAGAAATTCTTGAAATTTAGAAAATCAGAAGCAAAAGCAAAAAGTCTACTTTGCAGTTAACCTACATAAGACTTCTGCCTCTTTGCTCTGGAGTAGTATATTTGACTTAGTTTAGTTTCACCTAGATTCTGATTTTGCTCCAGAAGAGCCAATGACCACACTCTTTTACTTTGCAGTTAACCTACATAAGACTTCTGCCTCTTTGCTCTGGAGTAGTATATTTGACTTAGTTTAGTTTCACCTAGATTCTGATTTTGCTCCCGATGAGTCAATGACCACCCTCTTTCAGAACTCATAAGATAGTATCCATCGGGCTTTAGAATAAGCTATTTTTCCCGCTTTTAACTCTCTTTCTGGGATGCAGTAAGAAAGAGGTTAAAGACAGACCCATTAAGATGCAGCCAAGGGACTACATTCTGTTTCTACCTTTGCAGCCCCTCCATACCTGGGAAACTCCATGTGGAAAAAAGGGCTGCGGAACATTCCAGCAGGAAAGACCACCATGTGGTGCCTCATTGAGTAGTATGAATGCACAGCCCAGGGGGATACATGCCAGCTGGAAGCAGAAAAAGAGAAATGAGAGAATGCGTTAACTCCTTACTCATACCTTGCTCCTTTCCTCCACTGGGCTTGCAAAAATGGTCTGCTCAGTACAACTGTTCATAGAGCAGCAGCAAATGATGAAATTGACATTGACTAGAGTTAAAGGTCTTTGAAATAAACCTTCGCTTGTTTACAGATGATCAGAGCTAGTAGCTTAGCTTTCATAGACATTGAGGGATTCGCCCTCACAACTTCCCCGTCAAGTAAGTCGGGATTAGTAACCTCCTGTGAAATCCTGCACAGAATACTCTCCAGGCAGTGTAAGGTCCCGGGCATCCCTGTCAATGATGCTTGCCTTCTGAAGCAACCTATGTCCTGCCTTCGAGGTGACCCTGCCAGCATTCATGTCATCACAGTGCTTTGATGATTTTTTGCTGCTAAGTCCAGGAGAATCTGCTATCCCGTTACTCAAGGGTTCATGAGGAAAAAAACATTCTTTTTTTCAGGGTTCTGGGGCTCCCTCCACAATGGGGGGTGGTTTTGGTAGCACAAGCTCAGGCTGAATACAAGACAGGCTACCATATTCAAGGCTTTTTTAAGCAGGATGCAGCAATGCAGCCTTGCAGCAAAGGACAACAGCATCTTGTCTTGCATTAGGATAAGTGTTGCCAGCAGGTCAAGAGAGGTGATTGTGCCCCCCTGTTCAGGACTGGTGAAACCACATCTGGAAGTACTGTGTCTAGTTCTGTCCCACTCACTCCCCACCCGTCCTCCCCTTCCTTCCCCAATAAAGGAGAGATATAGACATACAATTGGACAGGTCCTGAGCAACCTGCTGTAGCTGATCCTGCTTTGAGCAGTAGGGTTGGACAAAGTGTTCTCCACAGGTCGCTTTCAACCTCAGTTAGTCCACAAGTGTGTGATTCTGTTATATTTTCCAGATCAGTATCTGACACTTACTTATCCTGTGAGTGATGCTGAAGGAGTTTCAAGTAGGAATTTTCCCTCAGTACTTTCAAGCAAGCCACCACATTGAGGAAAAAAGTGTCTTCATTTATCTCCAACTGAGGGAAGAGACAGGTAATGCGACTGTCATAGGGCATGAGCGAGGAATGAATTGGACAGTATGAGAAAGAGAAAAGTCCCACGGGTCAAAAAAGGGTTCATCAAAAGACAAGCCAATGGAATACTTGTGTTTTTTCCTCTCCCAGTTCTAAAGACCTTCAATTTAAGATATGACAGGAATGTTATCTGCAAGCCAAACAGAACATACAAGCAGGTCACAGCAAACCTCTGTCAGGCCAGCCACTCTAAATAGGAGACAGCATAGGCAACAATATAGAAGCAATAGATAAAGGTTCTCTGGGCACATATGTTCTCAGAAAATGGACAGTAGGAAATCTGCATTGCTCCAGAGGTTATTGCCTCTTTAAGCAGCAGACAAGACAACAGTTGGTACAGGTAAACTGCCAATAATGAGGCAGGCATGTTTACATTATATAGCTCACATTCTGGTATTCCAGGTTCACTTTGGCAGTCTGGAGTATGTGAGCTGGATAGCCAATCTCCACTTGTAGTTTGGAAACCTAAAATCATAATAAATAAACAGACAAACAAAATGAAACATGACCAATAGGAGGCTTTACACTCTAGAAGTCCTTTTTCAATTCTATTTCTAAACTACCAAAACACAATCTGTGAATCAGCCCTTCAAAATGACAGCTACTCTGTTTCAACAATACATCTTTTGTTACTGAACTTACTACTTAACTCAATTACCTGAGGCCTAATGTTGTTCTACTCTTCTTTTTCTTTATAGAATTGTTTATTGTCATTCGGCTTTATAGTTTTTAACCTCTCTATGTGTATAAAACTGAATTGTATCTCAATACAATTAATTCAGAGTATCCATGGATAAACACTGAACCTCTCTATGCCTACACATCAATGTATGATCACACGTGTGTGATGGCACTTATAAAACCACCTACAATTTTCCATGTGTATAAGACATCTATTTAAGATTGTGTGCCTGTAGAAGCAGGCAGGAATATGTGAAGGTGCAGGCCCCTTCCATCCCTTCTCCAAAGGCTTCAGGGAAAGGAAGGCCTCAGTAACTTCTGCCTTCTGTACGCACCAAGACTTTAGCCTCTTGGCGAGTCTGTTCATCCATCCACTCCAACTGATCCAGTTGGCCATAGAGGGCATCTTGGATCTCAGAGAACATCTGCTCAGCCTGCCATGGAGAAAAGAAAGCACGGTCAGAACTGCAGAAAAACATTGTTCAGGCTTAGCTACCATCTTCCCATGTTCCAGCAATTCAATCCCAGAATAATTGGGGGAAAATTCCTCTTCTTGTGATGAAAGAGAAGATTTCAGTCTCTACAATGATTTAGGCTTAAGTTATTTGGCACCCAGTGGTTCCTCACAATGCTCACCATTCTCTCCCACACACCTTTTTGTCTTGCCTCTCACGGTAACTAAGAGAGAAACATAATTCTTTTTCATTCAATCCCTCTTGCAATAGGAATGGACCAAATGATTGCCCCACTTCTTGAGTGAAATGAAAATACAGTATCCACAAGTATTTCATGCTGGTGTCTTCCTTTCTGAAGTTATGGCAATCTGAGTCTCTCCTTCACAAAACTGTGTTTTGTTCATTCAGCTTTATGCTTCACTACATGTAGTCTTAGTTTTCCCATTAACTTTTCTTGGGGTTATTTGCTCTTGTCACTTTATACACTGCAAACTCTTTATAAAACCTGGTGCCTACACTAACTTCCCTCAAAAGAAAAAGGAACTCTGATCATCAAAGGAAAAAAGAGAAATCTTTTCCACACTGCAGGCAGGTGTTCCTTTTACTATGGATCCAATCAGAATATTTTTGGCATTGATTTGTTTCTGTACAACTGGTCATATGGTGGCTTAATGGCTTTGCAATCAAAAATCTTATTTAAATATGTCAGACTGGTGACTGACTGTCATTCCAGGAAGCCCACTGCAATCGCATGCATTGGTAGGGCTGTCATAGGTATTGGTGCTGCACACATGACTTTGCTAACAGTTGAGATAAAGATAGTAACTGGTATTTTAGCACTGTTTATTCTAGCAATGACAGCAATGTCATATTCTGACATCTTTCATTCCCCAAAAAAGGAGGGGAAATGCGTAAGTACAGGAATATCTAAAAAGGTATAAAACCTACACATGATTTTGCTGCCTTGATGTGGTCCTAAGTTGGCATATCAAAAAAAAAAAAAAAAGAAATGAAGCTGAGCTTTACTTGGGAGTTAAGAGGATGAATACCTACAAGTGTCTTGGTCTGCTGAGGGAAAATTTCTTGCACAATCATCTGCCCTAGAACTGGTTCAAAGAAAGAGCTGGTATCAGTCAAGCACTTCCTCCAGCGCTCAGCTGGGATCTGTAAGAACAGAGAAAGAAATAGAGACATATGAGAGTGAGGACAAAGAGATAGGAAGACAGTAAAAAGATATGTAAACGTTCAGTCAGTAGTATATAAGCTGCTATCTAAAAATGACAGCAGTGAATAAGTAATGTAGTTCTATTTAAGCTACCTCAGAAAAATGTATTCAGGTAAAACATTGATTTCCTTACGACTTACTCCACTTCCACACAATACGAAGGTTCATATGCTAGCTGAGACAAATACATAGAAGAAAGGTGACCATCTATATATTGTTCCCTACCCCACGATGCAGTGCACTTAGCTCTCTAAAGTTTTGTGTGTCATGTCTACTCCCACATGAGTAGAAATACTTGAAAAAAAGGAAGTATTTAGTGGCCTGGTGAGAGTAGTTTTCCTCCTCAAATCTAAGACACTCCATCCAGACAAGGCATCAAAAGAACACCCAGAAGGTGTGTCCTAGGGTGTTCAGCTGCTGGGGAGCCTGAAGAAGATGGTGAAAGGCTAACTCACCATTCTAGATCCCTTTTTTCCATAAAGAATCTTAGATAGCTCCAGGCGTGCATCTTGGAATCGACTGTCAAGGGCTGGGGAGAGATTCCCAACCAGACAAACAATCATATAAATATGAAGGACCCTGTAGGAAAATGACATTTAAATAGACTTAAGATTGAAGATTGAAGGCTGGTCACTATAAACATAGAGGCACAGCAAGTGTCACAGGAATAATTTGCAGCCTGAACAAAGACAACAAAGTACTCTGAATGGGCTACACCTGGGGCTATCAAAGGAGGATGATTTGACATGAATGAACCAAAGAAACTCTCTCCCCAGAACACTGTGAAGACTCAAGGGGTGCCTGCTGGGGCACAGGATTCTTTATGGGAAGCGGAAGAAAGAGCATTTTTAGGACTGGGTGAAATTTACTATAGAATATTTTGAGGGGTCTGTGGGATTCTGTGAGACTTATTATGGGATGTTTATGGGAAGGACCAAAGGCAGGGAAAGGGAAGGATCGTGGTGGATTGGAGGGAACACGTGTGGGACAATGGAGAGGAAAGGTGGTAAGAGGGAATGGTTAAGCATAAACTTGTGGCTTGCCAGGGTGTTTGTCTGAGCAGTTGAGCCCTGCACATGGTCACCAGAATCTGTCCTATCTTATTAAATGCTACTCTTAAATAACATTCTACTCTCAGGGGGAATGGGGGGATGGAGGTGGGGGATGGGGATGGGATATTGGAGAGATAAGGAGTCTGAGAGTTGACTACTGGAGAGACTTTGGTTCAGGCTAGCTGCTGGAGACAGTAAGCAGGGGTCTGAGAGTTGGCTATTGGAGAGACTAGTGGTTTGGACCAGCTACTGGAGAGATCTGCTTGTCTATGTGTGTTTGTAACAGGAACAGATCAGAGTACCAGCAACCAAAGTAGGGCTGCAAGACTCAGCAACCCATATACCCGGTTGCCAGCAGCTGTGGACACCAGGGGATCTGGGGCCAGCTTCTGAACAGACTGAATATCTAAGACCAGCTATTGGAGTAATCCATATTGTGTGTGTACATATATATGTTTCACTAGAATAGACCAAACCTAATCAACTAGAGAGGAGGAATAGGATCAGACTGTCTGAGCTGTTCATGTTTGTATAGGTCCTATGGGTGGGTGGGTGCCAGTAAAGGCACTGTGTTCCATCTCTGTTGATCTGTGTGACACATATATATATATATTTATATGTGTGTTTGTATATGGTGCATGCATGTGCAAGCCTCTTGGGAATATATGCTAAGCCTTAGTACTGGCTAAACCTGGGTATATAGATCAGCAGCAGCCTTGCAGTTATTAGTCTACTGGATTCAGCAGCCTCTGACACAGACCTCTTTAATCTATGGTATCTCAAGTTAATATTTCTTGAGGCATGAACAACTAGAACCATAGATAATGACTCCTACCTTTCCTTGTGCCATTGTTCGATGAGCTGTGACATGCCTCTTAAATAATCCATGTCATGCACTGCAATTGGCTGAGAGAGGTTCATTGGCATAGGATGGAAGACAGCTTGGAGACATGACAGCCAGTCAATAGCAGGTGCCTTTTCCTAGAAGTAAAACAAATTTTACATGCTGAACTATAAATCTAAATTGACTGACAAGAAATAATAGGGAAACTGGGATAGTCTCTCTAATGCTGTTAAGACATACTTTCAACAATTTAAACTGATGTGGGGATTGATTATTGTAGAAAAGGAGAATTTACATTTTTTTATTGAATTAGCAGTGGGGAGGGGAGAAAGTTGTGGGCCTGAAAAATCCAACTGTTGTCAATAAAAGACCATAAGTTAATAGGGTGTTTAAAGCTCCAAGTGCAAGCTGCAAGGGAATGGCATCTAAACAGCGTGCCTGATATCTCTTTTGATCTGGATCTTCACAATGTGAATGTCACATGTAATTGTGTTGCCCAAGTTCTAAGGCATAGATACCTGTAGCTCCCTAATGGTAGTGCGAAAGAACAGCATCCCCCTCTGCCGTCTTTCTTGCAGTGGGGTGACAACTCGCTGGAGGTTAGAGATGAAGGACAAGGTAAGAGAAAAGGAATCAAGGGAACCATCTTGTGGCCCTCCAAGTAGGTCCCCCAGTTTCTTCAAATATGAGAGATACACACGGAGAACCTGCAATACAGAGCATATGACCAGTCGGAGAAACATGACTGAAAATTAGTTGCCCCATTCATCCATCCATCCATCCATCTTGACTATACAAGCTTCAATCTTTCAAAACCACTGCAGCCCTGTCCCTAAAACTGTCTTCTTCACTGCAACATCCTGATAAAATTCTTCATGTGGAATACAGTTGCCAAGAACAGCTCCTCTCTCAATTAAGAACACTGAATTCCCAAAAGGTTATTTTTGTCCCAGCTTACAATTACATTAAATACCAGAATTATTTTAGATACGTAGGCCTGCCTCTGGAGTCAAAGGAGGGACATGTAATGATATAATGAGCCAGTATTTTTGATGGAGAGAAAAAGCCAGCTTCTTGCTTCTATATTCATGAGGTATCAAAGGAATGCTTGTGATGGGTAGACAGGCTTATTTTTTTGAGAACTCTTCTGAAAGAGTCAGACTGAGAAACTGAAATCAACTCAATTTTTATGAGTTCAGAAAAATTACAGAGCGGTGATGAAATTAACTTTGTTGCAATAACTCTCAAGGTCAATAAGCTTGTTTCCCCAGCCTAGGTTAAAACATTTTAAAATGACTTTTAAAATGCTAGCTACCCCTCCTCCAATACAAAGATTTTAAGTTATAAAGCCTTACTCTGGACAAGAACATTTTTTTAAAACATTCATTCAAGGTGAAACCTAGGAGGAAGCCCAGGTTCATGTTACTTAGCAAATATATATTAAAACTATAACATTCTGTTTCTACACTAGAAGTTTTAAACCTGGAATCTAAAAATGGGTTACATTTTACAACCTATCTTTTTGGAAATGTAGAGACTTTTGTAAAGAGCTCCTTCTGTAGTCATTTTCAGAGATCACTGACCGTAACCCACGGAAAAAGACCACTTTGAACCAGGAGGCAATTCAAGGAGATCCCTACACCAAATAGCTATTTTACCTTTCTTCAGCCTTTGATATGTTACCTCAAGATAATTTTTATCTTTGAATTTACTCTCAAGTGGCATCTCAAACTCAGGATGGTCAATCTGCAAAAAGGAGTAAAGAAAAAACATATCGGTATTTCCAGAAAGACTCAAAGTGTGAGGATATGCTCAACTGGCTTTGTTAATTTCCGTGTCACAGAATTTGAAATGTTAATAAATGGCCTTTACTTTTCAAAAATGCTTGATAAGTATTTTTTGTGGATCTATCATATTCTGCATCTCATTTACAAGCTGATTACAAATCTGTGGTGACTGATATTTAAATGTCAACCACATTTTTAAGCATTTCTACATAGTGCACTGGTTTTGGCTGGGCTGGAGTTAAGTTTTGTCATAGTAGCTTGTGTGGGGCTATGTTTTGCATTTGTCATGAAAAAAGTGTTGATAACAAAGGGATGTTTTAGTTATTGCTGAGCAGTGCTTACACAGCATCAAGGCCTTTTCTGCTCCTCACACTGTGCTGCAAGTGAGTAGGCTTGGGGGTGCATAAGAAGTTGGGAAGGGACACAGCTGGAACATCTGACCCCAACTGACTAAAGGGATATTCCATACCATATGACACCATACTCAACAATAAAAGTGGGGGTGAAGGAGGCTGGCCAGGTCTGCCATTGATTGGGAACTAGCTGGGCAGTTGTCGGTTGGTGGTGAGCAATTGGGGTTTTTTTGCATCATTTCTTTTTTTTCTTTCCTTTTTTTTTATTTTATTATTAAACTGTCTTTTTCTCAACTCAGGAGTTTTTATACTTTTACCCTTCTGATTTTCTTCCCCATCCCATTGGGCGGAGGAGTGAATGAGCAGCTGTGTGTTGCCTATCTACCTACCAGGTTTAAACCACAACAGTGGGCTGCAAAGTTCATAGTACACTATGTGTATTAGACACTTTGCACTTAATGATTGTACTAGTCATACCCATGAACGTAAGAAGAACCAGAACCTTCCTCAACAAAGTACAATCTGCACTGTCAGGCAGAAGAGATGAGAGAAAGTAAGCAATTTATTCTTCCTCATCTGCTCATTTTCCAGAAATAAGTGCTTTTTATGTAATAAAATCAAGTAGTTTACTGAAATTTAGGAAAACTTTCTTCAGACAAGAACATAGGCTTAACTTGAGCAAGTCTGGGTCTCATGGGCTGTGTAACTGACTCTGTATTCGCGGTGCTTGCTGATATTTTCTTTCTTTAGTCCACTCACCTGAATAATATTGGCCTTGAGGTCAAACGGACTAGGTCCCACATGCACTCTGAAAAAGGGAAAGGTGCTGTATCTGCTCATGAGAGTCTGAAGAGTTTCATTAAAATCTTTTGCTTTCCCCACACCCGTGATATTCCATCCACCAACCTAGAGAAGGAGAGAGAAAGCATGACAGCAGCTGAGAAAAACGCTTGTTTGGTCTATATTTACAGAATCTTTTTTTCACTCCTATGAGCTCAGCCATTACGACAACTGAGAATCAACAAAGCAAATAGCAACAGGGGAAACTCATAAAGATTTCTATATACCCTGTTGGCTTTAAAATGACCTGTCACTTTCACTTAAGGAAAGCAATGAACCGCAAAATGACATAGGGAAAAGGAATGATAATTACCAACAGAACAAGGTGTACAGGAAAAAGGCATGAGAAGAGGAGAGAGGAAAGAGGTCTCATTTTTCTAGAGCCATCTGGAAAGACAACCGGGGATCAGGGATTACAGATCCCACCTTCCTGACAAGCAGATTCACAGGTGGGCCTGCAGTCACTATTCCTTCTGCTGGAAGGTGCTGCATCCTCCTTGGAGACAGGGCATAAAAGCCCTTTGCCAGCAGGAAGATGTACAACCCTCCCTGGCACTGAGAAGAGACTCCCAGAATGGAAAGAGAAGCATTTTCCTCTTTAAACAGGCTCCCCTGAAGCCTTGAGTAGTGGATGGCCATCCTATCGTAGACACAAGAATTTCACGCATTTTGCGAGATGTTCCCTGATCTGTTGGATCCTATTGAACTGAGCTTCTGAAATTAAAAGTGATCCCTCTTTGTAATCTTGGTTGCTGTACAGTCCTAAAGTAATATGTAACGTCATGAGGAAAGAGTCAGGTACCTGATGCCAGAAAATCAAATCTTGAAACAGCATTTAAAGCTAGAAGATTTGTCACCTAGAAGTTGTGCCGTGAACCATGATCTTATTTCACGGCCAGATGCTAACGAAATTCCATCATGTAGAACCATATGACTCTAACTTCACATTTTCCTTTTGCCTGCAGGAATTATCTTCGGGAGGGAGAGGAGATAGCACAAACATTCACCTGATTTAGGAGGTCCTTCAATGGTTGAGTTCCTTGGGATTCTATCCGTTGGGTATCCATGCAGGAGCGATAGAACTGGATTGCTTTTTCTGTAGCTGAGCCTCTTACTCCAAACTGTGGGCTCTCTGAGGAAAAAAAAAAATAGAGGGAAAAAAGGGTTAAAAAAAAAATAAAAATGGGGCAGTATTAGAGCAGAGAAAGGTTGTCAGAAAACATTACACTGCACTTTGATTCAGAACAATCTAGTAAATACAGCCACACTTCCCAGAGTCACTCAAAGCAAGAGATATTCTAGTGCCATGACTCTTCTTGAGGTCAAATATGTGAGCTTCTTTGCAGGGAAACAGGAGCATAACAGGAAGGTGGTGCGTATCTAGGCTTCAGTCCCATATGGCGTCAGGACACATGACCAGAGTGAACATTCAGACAAGCACAGCAAAAAGGGTCTACTTTTGCAAGGCAACAGGGAAATGGTTTGGATTGCCATCATAATTGTAAAGTGTGACTTTTACTTATTGCATTTGGCAAGGGGAACTAAAATGTTTAAAATGCAGATATTGCAATATGACATGCTCAAGAATAAATCTGTATCTTTAATGACAGAAGAACAAAGAGACTGAATTCAGTCTCTGTTAGGAATGATTGTGCTCTCAGTTATTAGTATTCTCAGCTCTGATTGAGGAAGATGCTAAAGATACCACACCAATCATCTGTCCCTACCTAAAAGCCTTTTCAGGATCAACTGGTTTTCTTCCAACAATACATCAAATACATTTAGTGATTCTTCTGTGGTTCTGCTTGAGTGTTCACCTTCCCAGCTGCCACAGGCATATTTGTAGAAATCGTCACAGGGGTCTACAGTGTCATTCCTAGAATTCAGGAGTCTGGCCAACAGTGTTAGACCCAGCTCGGCATCACAGGATCCTGGGCAGGAAGTAAACAGGAGAGAACTGAACAGTGACAGTGGGGAGTGAGAACAACTCAAAACAAAACACACAAAAAATTAGGAGTTATCTGTGGGACATTTCCCCAAAAGCATTTATTTTTGGTACAAACTCCTTTGCATGCTGAGTGTTGAATTCCTTGTTATTTTTTGCTGATTATGGAACAAAGTGTTTTCTTTCACTTCACAGGAAGAATGCCTTTGCACTTTATACGGGAGATTCTTTAAAGAAAGGACAGGTTATCAGTTCAGAGGTCATGTCCCCTGTTCACACTATCTAGGCAGTCATGATTATTCTGCCTTCTCTGTGTATTTTCTCTGAATTAGCCAAATTTGGCCAAATGATAAACAAGAAGCAACTGATGGTGTCAACATATTAAGCAGAAGAAGGACATAGCACAGAGAAAGTAAGGACATAAGTTTAAAACATGGAGGGAGATGTTCAAGCACGGGAAACATTTCTCAGCAATGACATTTATTAAAATAGGACCAAGACTTTCTAGTACATCTTGCTTTGATCTAAAACCCCCTTTATCTAAACTGCTGCGAATCACCAGGTATGTGTTCTCATTTTGGTTCGGTGTCTTGTATCAACATCAGATCAGATGAATTATTTACTGAAATAAGACACTTGTAAATCAAAGTAAGACTTTCCACCCTATGGTTTAAACAGTTGACATGGGAGGAGGCAGGCAGAGTGGAAATTCAAACTATACATTTTCCTTGGTCTCTATAGTGAACGGTCTCCAACACATAACAGATGCTAAAGAAAAATGCTAGGTGAAGAGTCAATAGTGTTTATTTTGGAGCAGGGAATATCTGTATCCACCAATATAAATACACCTTCAGTACAGAGTATTCTATATGCATAAACATTTACATGGACCATTCTGCAGGCAGTTGTTTAGCAAATTTGAAAGGCAAATTAATGTTTCTGGTCTATGCTTACAGCTCCCCATTAGCAAGAGACTATGACTTTTCTTTCTACGCTATGACTGCACTGGTCTGTGCTAGAAAACTAGGACTAGACTGATTAAGTGAGAGTTGGAAAGCTGGAGGAGGACCTCCAAATCCCACATTAAGTCCAGTTTCCTGGAGTTGACTACAGACAGAGCATGACACGACGATGAGATGCAAGACAATATAATGATGCTCTCCCTCAAAAGTGAGCCCAGACATATTAAAAGGCAGGCAGAGGAGGACAGGTGTGGGGATCTCTCCTCACTAAGACCCAAGGAAGGGGGTACCTTTTTTACAACTGGTGTTACGATTATTTGAGATTCTGAAAGTCTGATTCTTAACACAGATGCTAAGCCTAACACATAATGGAGGCAGATAGGAGAGAAAGGGGTCTTACAAATGAGGTGGATGAGGAAGCAGGAAAAAGGTTATTCCGTATTATACCTAGACCACAAGTCATCATGATGTAGGTGATAAGTAGTGTAAAGCCAAGGAGAGTACTGAGAAGAAGTGTACACAGAAGTAGGCTTTTCCCCTGAAGGCATCGTTCTTTCTTTGCACCTATTCTCAGCTCCTGGTCACAGGTCTGAAGAGAGAAAAATGAGACAAAAAGAAAAAATGAAGAAAGAAAAATTCATATTAAAGTTAGCACTGGTCATCTCCCACTCCATCTCCCACCTAATCTACAAGAAAATCACTCACAGGACTAGTGCCAGAATACCAACAATCCAAGTCATCTAGGTGACTGTACTGCTGAGGGCTTTCTCATCTCCTTTGTTTCCTTGTCTTTTCCAGCCACAACTGTTGCAGTGTTGTGAATTATTCATCAAAAGGCCAGCTTGCCGTGAGGGGGCCTGTCCCTCCATCGTTCCTTCTGGTTTATGGAATCATTTTGCATATACCTCCTGAAGATATCAAAGTCTTTTTGAACCCATAAAGCTAATAACAGGATGGCTAGAACTGGTGGTTCTTTATTCTGTTACAGTCTGGCAACCCAAGCCCTAATTTCAGATCTCTCCTCGATAAACAATTCCTGCATCCTAAGCCCTCTACTCCAGTTGAATTGGGGGAAAAGTCTTGCCCTATACTAAAAACTGCAGTAAGCTGTAAGACATGGAGGAAACTTTATATACAGACTGGTTTTATCTCACTTGAATTTAGTTGTTTTCATAAACTAGGTGTGTCTTCTCAGTCAGCGGAGAAGGCTAGGCACCTTATGAGTACAGTTTCTATTTTAGACATCTGTCTCAGGATGAGCTGAAGCATCCTCCAGAGTTACCTGTCTTTTTCTCCATTGACTACAAAGGATGATAGATGGCTATATTAGAATACACCCCTAACATCTACATGGATAAAGTTAGATAAAATGACATTTACTGTATGCATCCACTGTTTCTACCTACTTTGATGTACATAGGACTGGAGAACAGCAGATTACAAGAGAACAGACATGGGAATGGATGCTGGTGATACAAGGAAAGGGAAAGAACTGAAAAAATGAAGTAGAATAACTGACTTCGAATATACAGTGAGAAAAAGGAGACAGAAGGGAAAAAAAACCCCAACATGGAAAACCTGGGAGGAAGCGGGATAAAGAAAACATAGTATAACAAGCAAGGAGTAAATCTTGTAGGTATGAAAGTTTATGGAAGTGCTACTTTGAGAGTCATACATGCCAGTGTCAGGACCTGGCCTGTACTGTCCCCGCAGTCTCAAGTTTAGCTTCCTGTGCTCAAGCCTAGTTCTCTGAAAGCTGTTTGAGAAACCTTGACAGGCCTTGGAGCTCTTTGAGAAAAAGCTAGAAGCAGCCTCGGTGGAGGTACCCACTTCTTCGCTTGGGAGCTGCTTTTTGCAGCTCTCATGCATGATCTCCATCTGCGCTATGCTCCAGCAGCAGCCATGCCTGTGACTGGCCATGTACCCCATTGATCTGGATCCTAACTTTAACCTACAAACTTGATTCTGCAGGTTGAACCTTGGACCTGCCTCCTCACAATGCACTTGCCTGGCAGTCTACACTCTTGATTGACCCTGGCTACTGTCACCAGACCTGCCATACCCCCCTCATTCTCGCACTGTGTGGGCGCATCCCTTGCTGGTAAAGTCATTACTTTTTGCCTGCCTTGTCGTGACTCTCAGGTTCTAGATCATCTTCCCCTGTGTCGCGTTGCTGCTCCCTTACATGCAGCAGCTAAACTGCATTTGTCACTATGCTCAATATCTATCTTCTTTGTCACAAAACCAGAAAACATAGATCTTTACAAAAATCACAAGAAGAAATGAAGCAAAATCATACAAGAATTAAGTACCTGACAGCATATACCCCTTCACCTGAGGAAAGGCTAAGGAAATGAGTGAGTCTGCTGTTAATCATCTTGTCTAATATACTATGTACAATTCCTGCACAAAAGCATTAACAAAACAGAAAACACAGAAAGAAATAGAAAATCAGATCTCATAATTTTATACCTTTCAAATGTTCATTTTAGTCAATCATTAACAGAAGCCTCCCAAAAGCATATATCATCTTACTTGACTCATGAAAACTGCTAACAAGGGTTAAATACCTACCTGCTTTTCTCCCTTTAAAATCCCATTCTCCTGACTTCTTTAGGCAGGATAGAGAATAACTAAATGGAGAGCAAGTACATACAAGTGAATCCTGGCGTTAAAAGGTGCTAGATACAGAACATGATCATACTGGCAACATTCAGTGTAGGAAAGGTAAAGGAGGAAATCTAAATTCCTTTCATATGCCCCTGCAGTAAAACACTTTAGCTTTTACTCCTCAAGTAGAGAGTAAGTGTCACAACCTAACAGTATGGCAGGGAAGTGAGCAAAAATAAATTTGCTTGGCTGAAAAGGAAGAAGAAAAATTATTCACAATGCTCCTGACTTCTCTGTTGCAATAGACTACTTGTTTTCCACATTGAAAATCTGGCCTATTCCTAATATGAAATACTTCAAATTTTGCAGTTCTTTGGTCTCATGTTATCAGAGGATGCCTGTTTCTCTGTTTCAAGTACTGAATGGCATGGCTGTGGAGATACTAACAAGAAATTGGTATTTCAAGGCTGTCACTGCAATTTCTGCTGAACTTCTGGTTAATAGTACATCTGTATTGGGCCTATATGTTATGTTCCTTTTGAAATGGAAAATGCATCAAATAATATATTTTTAAAAATCTGTAAGAGAACTAGACTGTCCCCTTCAAGACTCCAATGTGAAACAACTAGAGAAGTACCTGGCTGAGAACAGAATACTGCAAAAGAATAGCATACCCCAAAACAAGAGACAGGGGAGTGGAAATTGATTGTGTACCTCTGCTTAGAAAGTGGATTAAGGTCTGTGTTATGTGAGTCATAAGGTTAAAAAGTGTTCTGCAAACACTTCACCTTCCATAAGGAATGTCTTTCTAATCTTGACTCTTACTGGGGCTGGATTTGAGAGAACTTGTGGACCTACATAAACAGAAAAAAGAGGAGGGCAGTCATTCTTAGTTGTCCCTTTTATCTTTTTCATGACAACACCGTGAAGAAATCTAGACAGAAAAATACCCGTTCTTTCAGTACTCTTATAAAGATACTGACCTGGGCAATATCCCTGTCAGATTCTTTATCTAGTATGAACTTCACTTTTATGCCACAAATGGACTAAGGCGGGACTAAGGTGTTTGTGAGCCATTCCTGAATTCTGCAAGGAGGTTGAAGTTCTTCTGCCTAATTCTTCCTCACCTTGAATTTTCTCAGTGTTAAGTGCTGTTGCAGAAAAAGAAGCATCTAACCTTTATGAAAATAAAGTAAATGAAAATAAAGAGATCAAAGGCAGGGAGAATTTGAGTTATTTTTCATAACTCTTTACCAGACAATTTAGGGGTATTATTTTTCAGTCTGTAGATTATTCATCAATTACTGACTTTGGCTGTTTCCCAAACTGTGTTTATCACATTAGTCATGTGGATGACATGTTTTCAGACTAATGCCCCAATAATCACAAAAACATCAACATTTTCTTAAATTTGTCTTTTGTCAGCAAATCACTTAAAGGACATAAACTGAGCACATCAAATGCCATTTGAGAAATAATATTTTAGCCTGTGTTCAATATATAGTATGTGCTAACATGAGAAACTAAATGGAAAGTTTGCTGAATTATTAATTTTCTGGACTACTAAATATTTGAAGCGTAACCATGGCGAATAACTATTTAAAATTGATTGTTGTCCGATCTTTATCACACAGAAATATGAGAATGTATATAGAAACCAAGCATTTTTGCAAATTCTCCAGCCAGAAAAATGCAGACAAGATAAATATAAAGCAACTGTTTGCATTACAGCCACAGCTCTTGCAACACTGAACAGCTGTCAACATAAGAAAACATACACAATTCTTTTTCTATACTATTTAGTTACATAGAAAGCTTTACTTATCTCTATTTTCCTCTATTGTCTCAGCAACCCTGAGCTAACAGTTCAGTTCAGTGTGATTTGTCTGTAAATATGCAATTAACACTTTACTAGTTATTTATATAAGACATCAAATCAGGAAAAGGAGACTGCACTACATGGGGAGGAATTAAGCTTACTGTGTCATTCTCACATTCAGAAAATTATGCCATGTTTACCCACAATTATTTGTGCGGAAAAATTTGCATATTCCTGCCTAAATAGTTTCTTAAAATAATTTGTTGAAAAAATGGGAATACAATAAATGATGCAAATAATCAGATTTTATTACTACTGCTGCTGCTACTACTACTACTACTACTACTATTACTACTACTATTACTTATTGGTCAGTGCTTCAAACAGATCTGAATACCCCCTCAGAATGGCCATTACAATGACTAAGAGGAAGGGCAAGAACCCCTAAATCCTCACACCACATCCCACATCATTAATTCTGAGACCTGGACAAGCCCTTTCTGGATGCAACCTGTCAAAAACTCAACTGCTCCGGTTCCCTAGGGCAATAAGCAGTATAGTTGTGACAGGGGAAGAAAAAGAGAGGGGTGCAACGAAGGTACCTCAGCAGACTGCAAGATAGACACATTTCCTTACCTCTGGAAGAGTGCTCATCCTTGTCACTGAGCAGGATTTGCTCCTGTGGTTACCACAGTTGTCAATTCTGTTTACTTGTTTACTATCACTCTTCTGTGTCAAAACACACTACTAAGTTCAGAGACAATCTCTTCTTCCCAGCTTGGCTGATTGCTGTGGGGAGGAGAAAAGAGAGGAAAAACTCTGAGAAAAACACCCTTAAAGAAAAGGAGAGGGAGGGAAATGAATACATTTCTACAACTCTCCACCCACCTTCTCTTTCTAACACCTCCACTTCTCATAAAACTATATTTTTTGTTCCCTTCTGCCTCTCCCTGTGACCCGTGCGTCTTTCTGTCTCGTGGAGCTGCACTGAAAACTTCTTGAACAGAAGTATGTGATTCTCTGTCCCCCCCAGCCTCTTCTCAGATGTTTGCTGCTTCTTTTCTCTCCAACAGCCTTACTATCCTGCCCGCCCAACAAGCCTGTTTCGGTCTGATATTCTCACTGCTACTAGCCTGTTTCAACCTGCTGCTCTGGGGCCTAGAGGCCTCTGCCTATTGCAAGATAGCATGGGTTATGGATCCTAGTGCTCCTCCCGCAAACGAAATGCCAGTGTGCTCGCTTTCTTTAGATTGGATATTAGGAAGAATTTCTCTACTGAAAGGGTCATCAGGCACTGGAACGCGTTACCCAGGGCAGTGGTGGAGTCCCCATCCCTGGAGGTATTTCAGGGTTGTGTACATATGGTACTTAGGGGCACAGTTTAGTGGTGGGCTTGTCACTGTTAGGTTAATGATTGGACTAGATGATCTTACCAATCTTTTCTACTCCAGGAGATTCTGTGATTCTGTGATCTGCATCCAAAAGTCCATTCAAGAGGTGAACACAAATCCACTTCTGATTCTTTTTCTTTGGCAATGAGGCATAAAATAAATCATTCATTTCTGATCCTATTTACAGTTGTTCATTGCTTCTCAGGGGGTGGCCAGCCCGTGTGTCTTTGCTTCCTTAAGGACGCATATTGGAAAGATTTAGGAGGGAAGTTTCTCTGCTTTGAGGACTGGGAACCAGGATCACATCCCTGAGACGTTAAAAACTGAGCAGTGGATGTTGGGAGTTGAGACCTTCTCAAGTGGCAACTGGGAGCTGGGAGAGATGGTGGGGACCAGTTTGGTGTCAGCTTCCAAAATGACTGAAACAAACAGAATACCAGGACAGAACTGTTTACCTCCCCACCTTGCTAGTCTCTCAGGGGAATATGATGTCTTGGTTCACTGGTTTGAAGATAATTAGGTATCTGTTCAGTTGTTCAGGGATTCCCAAATCTTTGGTCTCTCTCCTAATGTCCCAATCTTCTTTCTACCTTCATCAATATGATTTTTTCCCTATTCCTGTAGTGCTTGCACAATTTCTTAACATCTTTGATTATACTGTGACAACAGACTTCTATAGCTTAAACCAATTACTTACTTCCATTTTTTTCCACCTGTCAGGTCACTGGTAGCTGTATATTTCTACATTTACCAAACAGCTCTAAATACTGTAAAATGGTCCTTGCATACTGCAAAAACAGGTCCTTGCTGACCCACCTTTCCTTGCAATAGGTCACGTTCCTTCAGCTTAACATCAGAATCCAATTTGCAAATACTTCTTGCATAAATGATTGAGATTTGACTTAGTGGAAGTAACAAGACAGTCTTTTGATAGTCACAGCTCTTGCGTCACTGCAAGGAGCATTACTGTGATCCATACTGTCCAACAGATACATAGATATTTTGTTCATTATGGCCAGCTAGACAAATCCCAAATCTTTGTGCAAACTGAGAAATGGGGCTATGTAACAAAATTCAGTGCTTATAATCTTTTGTTTCAACATAGCTTTAAGTCTTCTATGTGTTTCTGCCACATTGCCTTTGAACCTTTTCCACTCTTCCCTACTTTACAACTTTTCTCACAATAGCTGCAGTTCTAGTACTCTCTCACAAACAGTTTTCAGTAGTTGCACTGATAGTATAGACAAAGAAATGGTATGCAAATGCATGTAGGGACCTGACTAGGTTTAACTATAAGTGATCTTACAGTTGAGATATCTTTGTAAACTGAATGGACAAATCTGTTCATGACAATATGCAGTTTATTTATTTGTCTTATCTATGCGTCTGAACTCTTCCATCCTCATAATTATAGCATCTAACAGCTCCCAAGCTTTAAGTAACGAAGTTAATTTTACTCCTATTTTCTCCAATGAACACTATCTAGGCTTTAAAATTTCTTTGGGCAAGGAATTTATTGCCTTTTTGATTATAAAATGGCTGTGATCATTTTAAACACCATGTGATTTAAATTAAAGCAAGTAATAAAACCTTGGCTGAAGTATTCAGTTTTAAAATAAAACTTGAGAAGACCAAAAAAGCCTTTTGGTCAATGTGTTGATTGGGATATGACTAGAGTTAACATGGTTTCATGAGCCAATATATTTTAAACAGGTCCTCTACCTCCTCTTGATTAAATGTAATTTTACCACATAATTTGAGAAAATGTTGCATTGATATTGCCACACCATACAGATTGTCTTACACACACTATTTAGAATGCTTTGAATGTGTATATGTGGATGATTTTTTCCCGACCTTGTAAACCAACCAGGACACATAACAAAAAGTAGTTAGGTGACAACCTCATTACAAGAGAGCATAGGATGTTTCAGGAAATGAAATGCACATCACTTTCTCGGTAAAGAGCATAGATCTTTGAATTAGTACACATTTCAGTGGTGCTGTGATGCTGAGAAAGCTGTCTTGCAAGATCTGGCATGGAGGTGATGTTCCCTTTCCTAAGTCATCATAGACCATAATAACATTATATACTAGACCAAACAAATGCTACTGCTGGTTTCCATTGAAAGAGTATGCTCCTGAGTAGCATTCTGCTGCAACAGAGTCTGCAAAATAATTCAGTAGGAAAGTTGAACTGTTAGGGAGAGAATCAAGTTGTTAAAACTTTCATTTATTCCAAAATTAATGTCTTTCTTTGGAGACAATGTGGATTTATTTCACATAGATGCTTATTCTGTGCTTGTGCTCTGTGCTTGTGCTCTTCTTATCCATGCATAAGAAATATTTTATCCAAAATTATATGACCCATACTTCAGAAGAATCTGTTTGACTGTGGTTATTAGCTGAAACTGAGTAATTCAAAGACTGTACCTTTCCTAGCAGAGTTTCTTGCATCTGTCAGAGTAAGGACAGAGCACATTTGCATCTGGCAGCAATAAGCAGGGGAAGCATATCTTAAATTTTCCACACTACCAATTGGATATCAAGTCTTCTTCAGGTTGGATACCACAGTGTAATGTCTGTATATGCATTTAAGCCTTAAAAAATGTCTGCCTTGGAGGCGATTGCATGATGGCAGTGTACAGTCTGACATCTTTATTGAGTACACAGCCTGTAGAGCTTTGGGGATCTTGTGAGCTGAATACATTAAGTATTCACGTATACAAGAATATGTGCTGTATACGTGCAGTTGTTTTTTCCTGCTAGCACATAAGTTTCTTTGAAGACACCTTTATCAACTACATAAAGTGAAGACAAAAAGTTTCCCTGTAAACTTTTTCTAAGTACAGAAGCAGGAAGAGGGGTTGGGAGGTGTGTGAGGGGGAGACGTCACAAATAACCCTTATCAACTGATTCCCTTCTTATCTTTAAGGCACAGATGACAGCTCTGCTCTCGAGTTAACAAATTAGTGAGAGGACCTCTGGCTTTTTTCTCTGTGACAAACTCTTTCTCTTCTCTATACAGTGCATTAGCTTTTCCAAATGTAACACTGATCAGCACTTTGAAAAGAATACAGTGCCGGATGTGCCTTCCAGCTATCACACATAAAAATGTATAATGGCAATTATCTTTTAGCTACTTCTTGGATTTAAATAGATCTGTGATTCAAAGAAATGTGGAATTATTAAAAGCATTGATGTGTATTTGACAGATGTTGTTGCAAGCATTTCTTGTACATTCAAGATGGTTAGGAATCTAGGCAGATTTCAGAAAATTATTTTCTTAATATCTGTCCTGAAGTGAAATTGAATGCGGACTTTGATCTTCTACACTGTGTGAATAGTAAACTCCACTGCAACAGTTTGGTAGGGTGAAGTTTTGCTTCATAGATTGATATTCCAGCTTCAACTTTCCAAAAATATGTATGTATCATAGACTGCACAAAAAAATGCCAGCTTTATGTAATTAAATAAAAAAGAACATTAGTAAAACATGATATAGCAATGTTAATTTTACTGGCCATCTTGAAAACTCATGTGGAAAGGTTATCACTTACAAAGAGACTGTACTTAGTTTTAAAAATTAACTTTTCTGACTCAAGCTTTTCTACCTCAAATGGTGACAGATGGTGCTACCAGTGACCAGTGTGATTTGTGGATTAAAGCAACATGACAGAAATGCTCATTTATATGGAAGACTGTTTGCCAAATGTTAGTAATAGTTTTGGTAACCATTAAAACCACAAATTTGTTTTGAAAACATCAGAATACTGTAACACTGCAAGAGCTCATTGTTTCACCAGAGAAGTTCAGAAAACTGGAGGCAGGATAACCTGAGAGCCATAATGTTTTCCACTGTGGATGGGAGGACTGACAGCAGGATAAATTCATTTTAAACAGCCCAGAATTGCAGCTGCCAGTCAGGCCTCTAGCACTGTTCTAACTGCCCCATGGGTGATGTAGAGAGATCCCTTCTGAGGCAAAAATGCTCTCAGAGAGTCTTAGTCATATATGTAGATGGGAACAACTTTTCACTACCTTTTTTTCCATCAAATACTTGCTCTCTCATCTACCTTTAGTTCATCAAGTACATAGAATCATAGAATGGTTTGGGTTGGAAGGGCCCTTTTAAAGATCACCTAGTTCAACCCCCCTGCCATCGTCAGGGGCATTTTTCACTAATCAGATTGCTTAAAGCCCCATCCAGCCTGACCTTGAGCACATCCAGTGATGGGGCATCTACAACTTCCCTGTGCAACT